ACGACGACGAGAGAGAGAGAGAGAGAGAGAGAGAGGGAAGAGAATAAAAAAATAAAAGGGTTGAAGTCGGTGTATTTCGCTGCCGGCATCCAGCCGCCCTACATGTGTGACACTTTTCAGAATTCCGCGCTACCTTTTCTTCCCCGTTGTCTGGATTGCTTCTACGCCCCCTCGCGCCACTCGCGAGCTAAGAAGAAAGTCCTTTCACAACGGTGTGTCGTGAAAAGCGCTCTGAACCGTGGCTCTCTTTCTTTCTTTCTTTCTTTCTTTTTAGAGAAATTAGCACGGATTCTTGGAAAAGGAATTTCAAAAGCATCGCGACGGAATTTTTCTTTGCTCGGTTAAAGGGAAGAGGAGATTTTCCTTATAAAACGTATACAGGATTTATTTTATTTGTATTCCACGAAATGATTGGTTATTTAATGGAAGATACTGCTACTTCGAAAACGATCCACGTTTGTATTTTTAATTTTCCTTCCCTATTTTTAGATCTTCCATTAAACGTTCACGCGTTAGTTTCAGCGAAAAGTCGATAAATTTGGAATAAATAATCTTTTCATAAATCATAAACAACGTACAAAAAGATATAATATATATATCTATAAGATCGAAAAACGAGGAACAATTCATCCATAATAAATTCGAGAAATCGAGCATATCCCCTCTCGCGCATTACTTCGTGTGTCCACGCACCGATCGAAGAATCAGAGCGTATAGTATCCTCAAACGGGGGAATCGCTCGACCACGGTAATCATATTCACGTTTAACCTTTGGGAAGTTTCGCGAATAGGGATCCACCGGTTTCGAGCACGTTCAAAGTATACGAAGGAGCTGGAGAGAGCAGCCTTGCAATTTGCCATTACGATGTAATGCAAAGCTTGTTTCTGTCAAAGCTCGAGAATCGAATCACGAAAGAGGATTGAATTACACGAGTTTCACGAGTCCCGTTGCGAACGGTGTCGTAATACCGGATCTTGTCTTACTATATCGTAACGTCTCGATCTAATAATCACGAAGACTTCGTGCTAAGAAGCAAAGCTGCTATCGTCATTATTCAATCTTTACTCTTTTTCCTTCTCTCTCTCTCTCTCTCTCTCTCTCTCTTTCCTCTCATTCTCGTTATTGCTCTTTGTAGTGACGCGATATAAAAAAAGCTATCAACAATCGGAAACCGTGCGTCGTTCCCAGCGAACCTATTGGCCGTGCATTCTGAAATATAATATATGTATACAGAATGAGTCATATTGCACGTCCATTTTGAATAATTTTTTAAATATACGAAAACGTGTCTTATGCAGAAATCAAACAATTGGTTTTGAAACGATTGATTTCTTTAATAAACACGATTTACAAATAATTTTAAATTATTATCGCAAGTTTTTTGTAGAGCAGATTAACGTTAAAAAATTATTCAGAATGGAACAAATTTTATGACTTATCCTGCGTGACAACGCTCATACATGTACGAAACACAGTTGAAATATCCTTTAACGATGCGAGACAAATTAATTAACGAAGCGATACATAAAAGAATCTGAAGCCGAAAAGAAATGGTAAACTTTTAGACGTACCAGAAAGAGCTTGCGTGAGCAAGGGCGTGTTGTTGTTGGGGGTGAGCTGTCCGTTGGTAAGATCCACTGAAACATAAAACTCTGATCACAACTGCTCCGCACTTCAAGTGTATATACGCGATATACGCGCTTTCGCCACTCTCGTTTTATTGCCGCTCGGCAGAGAGTGAGAGAGAGGATAGCAGTATAATAATTGTCCATGGCTGATTAAAGGAAGAGAGAGAATTTATATATATATATATATAAAAATATAATAAAAAAAAAAAGAAGAAAAAAATAGGGGAAAAAATAAAAGAAGTAGAGAAACATCGTGTATGACGCCAAAGTGATGGCCGAAAGGAAAACAAAAGAGACGTGATTTTTCCGTGTGTGTTGCTTTGTCGTTGATCCTCTCTGTACGCCGTGCGATGATCGAGCGAGCACGTTTCTCCTCCTGCGTCGTGACACTTTCGCGATCCCCGGATTATGAACCGTTCTCTCCTTTCTTTTCATTCTTTACCAATGTTGGATCCATTACTATCGTACTTCCAATCCCGAATTGGAAACTTTCAGTTTCGAAAACTCTCTTACGAATCATTGGAAAAAAAAAAAAAGAATTCGTCGTTACAATGGATCGTTTTCAATCATACACAACGACGAAACACTCGTAGCAGGTCGAATCTTCATTGATGAATCGTATCATTTAGATATCTCTTTATTCAGTTTCGCGTTACGATTTTACCTGAAAGTAAAGTTCTCGAAATATCTGTCTCTATAAGGGCGTCATCGATCCGATTTTGAACACGATTTCACGGATGTTCGCGACCCCTCAGATCTCGTCGAATTGTCGCGATGTTATTTCTCGCTCGCGGGGCCGATCGAGGCGGAAATGTATGAATCGCGATCAATGACGCGGAACAGGAACGCTCTCCATTCCCTGGTGGAACGTTGCCGAACGGAATGGGTGGTGTACCCTTTGGAACAAATAGTGAAACCATCAACGAAGCGTTTTCGTTTCATGGCCGCCGATAAACTGTAACGATAATGATCGATGTTTTGCGAGAACGTGAAATGAAAAGAAGAGAGGAGGAGGTCGAGAGAGAAAAAAAGAGAGAGAGAGAGAGAGAGAGTGTGTGAAGAGAAGAGTTAAAATTGAAGAGAGAGAGAGAGAGACGTATAGAGAGATGAGCGTGGAAGAGAATCGCGAAGACGAGCGAACAAGAGAGAGACAGAGAAAAAAGGGAAAGAAGGCGTGTTCTTTTTTGTCTTTCTCTTTTTTTTTTCCACAGTCCAAAGTGAATGTCGACCTCATACATTTCTTCCGGAGCGCAGTCCGTTGGACGTGTTGCATCGGTGTCTCCGTATACGCGCGGCTTGCGTTCTCGCTTCCGGTTCCGTGGTAGTACACTGCCGGCACTCCTGACATTAATAAAGAACAAGAAGAAAGCTGAGAATGTGGGAAGAAAAAAAATAAAAAACGGGGACGATAGGTGTGGCGTGGTGATTAAATAAAAATAATCTTAAAATTCTCGCCGCTGAGATTGCGGTACGAGATAAAAGTGTACGAGAAAAAATAACGCTGGTCGTTCTTTTTTTTTTTTCTTTTTTTCTTTTTTTTTTTTCATTTCCAACGAGATACGACGTTTATTCGATTCGATTTAATTGCAGACTAAAACGTGTAAAAAGAAATTATTGCGTTAAATTTTGATGCGCGTTTATTATTGAATTATAATAAATTTTTTTTGGAACAGTTGTGAACTGAATAATAATAAATATTTTCTTGATTGTTTTATTAAATTAATTGCAAGAATATCACGAGAATTAAAGAATTTTTTTAATAATTCTTGATTATTTGACATAAATTTATCATAATCAAATGATTAAATGATACAATCTGTAAAAAATAATCTCTAATTTATTCGTCTCTATACGTTAAATAGTATCAAAAAATATTGTTTATTAAATATTGTAAACCGTAAAATCAATCATTCGAGACAAAAAAGAATAAATAATAAGAAAAGTGCAAAAAAGGGAAAATCATAAATTACTTACAAAATCAATAACTGAAAAACAAACAACAAAACCGCAAATAATCGAATTGCATTTCGCGATAAATCCACGCGAAATACGTCATGACGATAACGATTTCGCGTATTAATTACTCTCGCGTGCATTCGATAACGCGGGACCCATTTCGTTCAAGAGACGAAAGGGAGTCAAGAAAAGTGGAAGAGGGAATGGAAGAGGAAGAAGAAAAAAAAAAGGAAAAATAAAAAAAAAGAGAGAATTTTCATCGCAAGAACGGCCGGCAGAAAAATCGGAGGTCTTTTAAAACCGGTTAAACAAACACCGACGCGTTTTGTGCTCCCGATGAATGCGGACGTTCTGACGTCACGCTTTTCGCCATTTTTTCGCTTTTCCGGGAAATAAACACGACGCCTACGCGCGCGCATTACGCTGCCTCTGGCATTTACCATTCGGAATCAAAGAAGAAAAAAAAGAGAGAGAGAGAGAGAGAGAGAAGAGAAGAAGAAGAAAAGAAAAAAAAATATCGCACAAAGAGTCACGGGTAAATGGTTTAAAAGTCGACCCAGGCGAACCAGTAGCGAGGCGTAACGCGCGGTAAGAGCGACGATGGAAGCGGAAAGAATGGAGGGGACGCGGAGAAAAGATGGCGCGTCGAAAATAGGAATAGCACCCGGCGTATCGTTGGGATTTATGTTTGGGGACGCGTTAGCTGGTTGATTCGAAATTTGCATGGATTCCAGGGTGGCGAATCGAGGGGTTGAATCGTCATCGATATTGGGTAAACAGGATGAAAAATAAATCAGGATGGTAGGGGTGTGTGTATCGGACAAGTGGGCTGGGTTGCAGCTTCGAAAGGGGTGGAAATGAAAGAAAATTTCTGATCTGTTGGTAGTTCGTATTTTATGCGCGCACGTATTTTTAATTTTGAAAATTGAATCGCGTATATATGTTCGATATTTTTTCAATTCAAAAATTCGAAAATGATTATTTGAAAAGTACGCGATTTGGATATTATCGATATTATAGTGGATGTAGAAAAGAATTTAAAATTAAAATTAAATTGTATCGTAGAAATGATTTGACTCTAATTTGTTTATCAGATCGAAAGATTATAATTCAATTTGACAACGTGATTGCGCAATATGATTATCAAACTATGAGAAATCTATTTCCTTTTATCTCCGACCGTTTCAAAGTTACAATCCAATCTACTTTCCCGAGATACCGTGTTACATAGGAAGGGCCATTTAGAGATAAGCATCGATGCTACAGAATGGACGTAAGAAGAGATCGATGATAGTGGCTGAAAGTTTCTACGTAACACAAAACATTACGATACGTCGCCAAAGCCAGTTCCAGGTTAATTGGGTTAGTGGCTTCAAGTAGTACAGATAAATTAGCGAGTCTACAGAAGCTAAATGAAACATTGCGATTCTCCTAGGGATCGAAGTAGATGCTGTAAACAGATTTCTCGAGATAATTAAATGGATGGACAATTTCGAGATGGAATCCCTTAACAAAAATCAATCAAAACCAATTTCCTAAGATTTTATATATATACGTACAAAAACGATCGAAATTGTTAAATACAAAAAGTTGTTTAAAAAGAGTGATTTGAAATTAAATAAAATCGATAAAATTCAAATTTGGAAAATATATTTAAAAAAAAGAAAAACTTAAGTGTAACGTAACGAAGATAATGAAGATAAAATTAAATGGCAATCGAATAAAATACAAAAATTCAAGGCACGCCAATGAGAGAATTACAATGAAATATGGGGATAGATGTTCACCCCGTGGATGGCACGTTAACGCGTGAAGAAAAGAATCACAACTCGGACAGCGTGAAAACAGAGCTTTCCTAGAGTATGGAATCTCGTTTCGGGAACCGTAACCGGGAGGACTGATAACGCGATAGCGTGAGGGGGGTGCGGACCATAAATCGCGGATCGACGTGATTTGTATGGGGTATCACGCCGCTTAATGGTGTGGCTTGTCTCTATCGGGCACGGTCGGTCTCCGGCCGGAAGTTTCGAGCCAGGCTGCAGAGGAATATTCGCCGCGTGTCTCTATCGCGTGACGATTTACGTGACTTCGTATCTTTTTTTCCTCCCTCTGCCTATAAATGGAAATAGGCAGAAACGCCTCGATGTGTGGTACCGCGTTCATCACTGGATTACGAGGCGGGATGAACTCTCGAGAAAATATAGAAAAAAAAAAAAAAAAAACAGGAAATCATGGGGCAATTTTTCGCCAATGGAAACATTACATGGAAATGGTCACTGAATCATCGAAGAGAGTTTACAGCGAATGGAGGAAAATTTTCCCTTTAAGATTCGATTAACTGATAACCATTAAAAATTGTGTTCGGATACGGATACATTCCATACCCTGGAAAACGTGGAATACGTAATGTAATAGCGAGATCGAGATTATCGTTGCACGAAGATTCGATCGTTGTCACGGTTTCTCGCAAATTTCGTGCATCTCGCACGAGGACGATAAAAATATTCCAAAATTTGGCAACATTTCGATCTTTTATTAACAAAATTCAAACCTATCAACTCTTCCAATTTCCAGCTATGACGGAGCAAGAGGAATTCAGAATCTCGACCTTGTGATCGCCTGTACACGTACCTTTCTCCGCGATAAGAAGAACACATCGAATTCGATCCGAACAATGGAATCCGGTGGAACACGGAGCGCGAGAGAGGGAGAGGGGTGTGAGAACGAAAAAAGGAACGAAAATCGGAACGCTGTCAGGGCACGGTGACGAATGAACCGGGAAACTTCGCCCGCAGACGTTTATCGGACGTTTCGTAAAAAAAAGGAGGAAGGGGGCCACGTGTCGAGATGGCTTCGAGTTTCTGGATTTCGCGTGGGAGAGTATCGATACCTCGAAGCCTCGGGTCTTTCCTATCCAAAAAGGAAAAAAAGAAAAAAAGAAAAAAAAGAAGCTTCTCGTTGGAAAAACGCGCCAAGAAATTTGAGAAGGAAATTCTTCTTCGAGCGCTCGTGCGACTCGATCGTTTCCCAACGAAACGGCGGCGACCATAGCGTGAGCAAAGATCTAGGCCAAGAGTTCATCTATTTCGAGTGTATGTCCAGGTGACGTAGATACGGTCTGGATAACGGGAAGGGAAAGCACCGCGAAATTTACTCGTGGGATATCGGCCAGCAAGGAAACTGTGACGTTCTGACAGGAGAATGATTTCGAACGGGCAATCCCGTGTCCTCTGTTACAGCTCGATTAATTCTTCAATCTGTTTAACATCGACTCGAGCAGTCTCTTGGAAGCAAGAGACGGCTTCTCTGCTGCTTCTACTTTCGGATCGATGTTTCGAATTGAATTGGATTTAACGTGGAATCGGAGGATGCTTAGGGAATAATTGATACGAACACTCGGAGAATAATTTTTCGTTCCAGTTTCTTGGTACGAAGATAAACGGGGATATTCATTTGGGGTAAGCACGAGAAAATGGTGGTTTTAAATAAATAATCTTTAAAAAATCGAATGATTTAAATAAGAACACGAAGTATCATTCGATTATGTAATTAATTTTCGAGATATTAATTAATTTTCAAAATTGATCTCTTAACCTTCGATCCAACTTTTAATACGATGTAAAATTTATAGACACGTTCGATGAAATCACACATTTTTCAAATCTCTTCTTTCTTCGCTCCATGAATAATAATAGCCAGAAAAATGATATTTTGGATGGGATGGAGAGGAATGGAAATTCAACAGAGTTCCACGAATCGAAAATATTGAATATCTTTCCAAATTGAAGAGAGAAGAATCAAACCAATTGGCTCTGGTTGGCTCGACACTCGATAAGAGTACAATTCGGCGATTCTCGGACTGAGCGATAAAATGCACGTGCCTGTTCGGCAAAATATCTCTATATTTTCTTAAACATGGTACGTAACGCGAGAATATACGTTAGCAGGAGCACCAATTCGTTTTCCTCGGACAGGATTCGATGGCGGAAGATATAACGTATCCCGAGCCAACTGATAAAATACATCCTCTTGAAACATCCACGTGGGTTAAGACGAGTGTCGTCGGTAATGGGGCAAGCGGGGAGGAGAATAAATATGACGTGGTTTACGTAAGAGGGAAAGGAAGTGGCGTACGATTAAGATATACCGCGATTTAAAACGATTGAGAACGATTAGTGCGACGCGTTGTCCATTTTTATATAGCGTTTCGATGTTTCATACACTCATCGCCGAGTATGTATTCTCGAGTGAAAAAAAAAGAAAAAAAAGAAGAGAAGAAGAAGAAGCGTTTAGTAGGCGATTATCGTAACGCAACGTGATTGCATCGTGTATATCATTATTAATGCATGATTTAAGCGTTCAACGATCGCGGCTCGATCGTTCGT